CCACCACACCACCAGGGCCCTCAGGTAGATGGCTCAAAATCTGTTTTCTTCACCACAATTGAAATGAAACCTGTAAGTCTCACTGAATTACCTAAATAGAGAATTCTCTATTATAAAACACTTCACGGGTAGAAAAGAAGTTCAAACATAAAGTAGTATGAACCCTATTAGAACAACTCAGGTACCTGAGACCAGTAATGCAAAATATTTTCTGAGTATTACTTACAGTGGAAGCTCTGGGGGGCATAGTGCCTAAGGCACTTGACTGCTAACCAGAGGGTTGGCGGTTCAAACCCACCAGCCACTCCTCAGAAGGAAGATGGGGCAATCTACTTGCATAGTGATACCGCCTCGGAAAGCCAAGGAGGGGTCGCTATGAGTCGGGGCCGACTCGATGGCATGTAACAACAACAACAACATTCCTTACAGTTTCAGGGATAACCTAGGAAGAGCACCTAGAGCACTGGTACGATAATAACGAAAACCATCCCACATTGAGCACTTACTACGTGCCAGCTGCGGGCCCAGGGCTCGTGGATCTTACACCATCCAGTCTGAACAACCAGGAGAAGTCAGCATTTCTTTATCAACTTTGTAATAGCTGAGAATGAGGTACAAAGAAGTTAGTAAAACACCCAGAGTTGTAATAGTGAGACATGGTGAAGCCAGGATATGAACCCATGTCACCTGACTTGACATGTGTAAAACAAGTTTACTATGTAAGCTGCCTGATAGGTAGCGTAGTGCCTAAGGCATCTATCTGACTGCTAACCAGAAGGCTGGCGGTTCAAACCCACCAGACACTCCATGGAAGGAAGGTTGAGCAATCTACATTCGTAGTGGTATCACCTTGGAAACCCAAGAAGTGTTCCTATAAGTCAGATCTGACTTGACAGCAGTGAGTTTAGTTTGGTTTGATAAACAGAGCTGCAGGAATTCTCCTGCTCAAACAGCCACTGTCCTATATTCAAAGGCTCCGGAAACATGATTTTGATGCTCCTTCAAAACATGATTTTGATGCCCAACTACAAGCATAGGATAAAAATTCATCAAAGTTTATTTTATAATGGCACAGTGATGATGTGACAGCTTCCCATACATGCCATGCAGGTAAGGCTTACAGACAGTAAAAACAATTACAACGGTTAGCACCTTAGTGGGGGTGAGTACATGCAAACCAAAAAGCCCTTTACTTGAAACAGCGGGGAGAGAAGTAAAGTATTTTAGAGATTAGCTCACTTTCTCCAAAAAGTCTGACAATCAATTAGATAACATGACAATGTTTGTCCTGTCTGTCTTGTGCCAACAGATTTTTAAATTGAGTATATAGAGCTTTCGCTGGAAGCGGTAAGGTTTCAGGGGGATTCTCTTTCATCTGTAAGCATTTAATATTGACTGAAAACAACATGCCTGCCTTATCTGGAGACGCCTGTCACTGCTGGGGTTTCATCACACAGCCATTCCAGAGGTTCGAAGCTCCTCCCTGCCCTGTGGCTAAGAATCTATGTTCTCCACAAAGAGGGAGAGCTGCCAGTCATCGCTGACCTTTCACATTTGAAACAGCAAAGAATCTGTCAGGGACGCACACATGTCTCTAAGGGTCTACTTCTAAACTCTCAGTAGCAGAAGACTACACTACGGACGCAAACAATGGGTACAAAAGAGCCAATCTCAGACATAAAGGACTTGGAAGCAATTCCGGAAAAACAGCTAAGAATTCAAAATGGCACACCAATGAGTCAGAGGGTGGCCGTGAATTTGGTGTGTGTCAGTCTACGCTTTCCACGGGCAACAGAACGCAAGCACAGTATCCACTGCTGTAAAAGCTGCTGTCGTCACAAAGAAACACCAAGGTGAGTGACAGAGGAGAACGGAAAGCAAATCGGCAAGATGAAAGCCAGCATGCCGACCTCTCACAGTCTTATCTCCATGATGAAATAGATACACTTTCAATAACAAACCATAATAGAAACGCACAGATGGCTTCCGAGGACAGGCAGTGAAGAATCATCATGTGTGTTGGGTGAAAGAACCAGGTAACTGGTTAAATGTGGTCTTCACACTGCGAGTTTATGGAAACGATTTATTGTGGTAAAGATTACTGTTCTTACTTTAGTTATAAAATTTGCAGCTGTTCAATACTTCTTATTTACTCTTCACTGAGCAACAAATTCCATTTCAGGTATAAGAATATGGAGTTCACATTAATTTATAAGGAATATTTCAGTCACACATGGAATTTTCTAGTGGCAGCTTTACCACCAAATTCTCTTCAGAGCACTTCAAGTATAACCAGAGTGTGTCCTGGTCCACTTAGAGGGTGACGAGGAAAACATTATGAATTTACACCCAGGGCCAGAAGTTAACTCTGATTTTCCTCTCCGCTGTTGCACCTCCTGGGAAAATGATACAAGCTCCCACAGCCAAGTAAGATCACAGGGTGACCTCAGTCCTTACACAGCAGCTGGAAGCTGCATAGTTCAGGTCACACTTACAGTGGGATTGATACTTCGCACAAAGATGATCCTAGACAGGAGTAATAATGTTGGCAGTGCAAAAATAAAATGTTGTTACAGCTCATTTAAGTATGAGAGGGAGTGAATAGTTGGACCTGTGGGCTTAGGACCATAGTTACAGGGGACATCAAGCTCAACCAGCATAATATACCACACAAAAACATTCTTCTATATCCCACTTTGTCAAGCAGTGCTTGGGATCTTAAAAGCTTGCAAGCAGCCATCTAGATGTAGCGATGGGTCTCTGTGATAGCTGAAGCTGTGTGTCAACTTGGCTGGAACACAATTCTGTGAGGTTTAAGCAGCCGTGATGTGGGTTACTCCCATGACGGGATCGGATGTATATGATTTGAGCAGCCAATCCGTTGAAAGGGATTGTAGGGGTGTAGCCTGCTTCCAGTATATTTAGGGACATCCCGGGAAAAGAGACACTCTTCTGTGGATCGGGATCCTGTCGTGCTGCCTACAACTGTCCGTGAGTGAACAATCCACCATTTGGCCTGGAGATCTTGGATTTATCCTTTGTTGGAGTCAACAGCCGGTGTACTGCCTGCCAACCTTGAGCTCCTCAGCCCCTGCAGCTGCGTGAGTTGGGAAAAGCCTCCAGCTTGACGTTTGATCCAAGAACTTCGGACTTGCCAGCTTCTATAAGTGTGTGAGCCATTTTCCCAAGATAAATTTCTCTTTCTCTGTACGTATAGATAAGCTTTACTGGTTTTGCTTCTCTAGAGAACCAAGCCTAACACAGTCTCTCCTCACCCACAGCAAAGAAGAATGAAGAAAATCAAAGATGCATGGAAACAATTGGTCCAAGCGACTATACACCATGTGATCCTCAGCCTATACGACTATGAGACCAGAGGAACTAGAGGGTGCCCAGCTACTACTGTCAACCATTCAGAGGGGGATCTATATAGGAGATCCTCAATAGAGTGACAGAACAATGTGGAACAAAACTCAAAATCATTTAAAAAGAAGAAGAAAAAAAAAAAAAAAGGACTAGGTTTTCTGGTCTGATAGAGCCTAATGGAACCACTGAGATTATGGCTCCTAGCTGCCCTTCAGGTCTGGAATTGAACCCACTCCTGTGGCTTCCAGCCAAAAAGACAGGCATATAAGCTGAACATTTACATTAGGTAGATACACTCCTTGGAGAGATCAATCACAGGAGAAAGAAGGGCTGTGTATGTACAAGGAGACAGCACAGGGGGCAGGAGTGCATGGGAGGGAAGGACACAGGGAAGAGGTAACTATGGGGAGGAAGTGGGAGGGAAGCTGTTGCATTGTGGGAAATTGTAATCAATGTCATGAGACAAGGTGTATGTAAGCTGCTGTACAGAAAATGAATTTGGTCTGTAAACTTTCACCCAAATAACAATAAAAATTTAAATAAATAATAAGTATGAAAAAATTATGTCCTGTATTTCATTAGACCTTAAATTCATTCCATCTGAGCGTCATTCACTAGCTCTACCATCAATACAAAGTGGGACTGCCCATGAAAGGACCTCAGGCATATGTGCACATATAACGAAACACGCCAGTATTACTGCTGGAGTTAAAATTAATGCTTGCCTATACTGTACAACTTGCCCTTTAAATTCCCCAAACATGATAATGGAAACAATCAAAATAGCTGTTATAGTTCATATGTAACTCCTTAAATGCATAAGCTCCGGTGGTACAGTGCCTAAGGCACTTGACTGCTAATCAGAAGTCTGGCGGTTCAAACCCAGCAGCCGCTCTTCAGAAGGAAGAATCTACTTCCGTAGAGATACCACCACGGAAGCCCAAGAAGGGGTCACTATGAGTCAAATATCGACTCAACGGCAGTGAGCTTGGTTTTTGGTTTTAAAGCATAAGATTGACTCAGACTTGGATACAAAATGCATTTATTCTGTAATAGAAATAAGAAAAGTAACTAAAATTGACCATGAACTCAACCTCACTAGAAGGCAATTACTTTTTACACAGACTCAAAGATGACATTGGCTAGGATAGACCTTAAACATAGGTCCTTAAACATGGGTCCTTAAACATGGACTGCACATAAAGAAAACTAATGTGACTGTTGACCTAGACATACCAATACAACCTAACACTGCTCATCAAGAGATAAATTACATGATTGTTACTAAACACTCTTCTTGCATTTTCTTCGATCTGAGAGGAATTCCTGGACAACTCAAATAATGAGCATTTGAGAAGGTGAATGTCACAACTGTCATTTTTCCTCAGCTACATACTAAGTCAGCTAAGAACGTGTTTATTAACAAGGAAGGTATTCCTATATGATTCTAAGAATCTAAATGCCATTTTTAAAATGTTCTGTAGACATATATATGCCTTAGTCCTAAAAGATCTGTTATGAGCACTTCATGGAAAGAAATGAAGTTTTGCGCTACTTTTACAAGACACTGAGGATATCATTCCTACTCTACGAGGGCAGGAAGTACCAGCAACTGTTGATTGAAATGAACTTACCAGACGGTTGTTTCTACTTGACTGTCACTGAGCTGCCGATTGTCCAGCTGGGCGAAGAGCGGAAACAGCACCTGGATGCCTCCGATGGAGTGGATCGCACTGTGAATCGAATGCGTCACTATAGCCTTCACGTCCTGCATTCAAAAAAAATACTTTTTAAAATTTTATAGCATACTTCTCATTCCTATTTTCTGCTCCAAATTACCCTTATGAGACAATAACAGATCTTGACATTTTTGAAAGCCCTCAATTACATAACTTGATACATGTATTTTTAAATTGAAGTATTTTTGCTAATCATTTCTAAAACCAACTAAACTTGATACGTTCTGTTCAGTATTTCAACACTGAAAATATGAAGCTTTAAATCAAAATCAGACGGTTGCAAATAAGGTTAACTATTTAGGAGATCTGGTAGCATAGTGGCTAAGACACTTGCCTGCTAACCAGACGGCTGGCGGTTCAAACCCACCAGCCACTCCTCGGAAGGAAGGTTGGGCAATCCTACTTCCGTAGTGATACTGCCTTGGAAACCCAAGGAGGGGTCGCTATGAGTCAGGTTTGACCCGAGGAGGGGTCGCTATGAGTCAGGTTTGACTCGACGGCACATAACAACAACAACATTCATGGACTTAAAGACACCCATGTAATTTCTATGTTAGAAAGTTTCCTTAATAAGTTCTTAAAGGAAAGCATATTACCTATTCAGTTAATCAATCAATTTTACATCAATGGATGTTGACCTCACAGAGTAACAGATATTACAGCGTTCCTTTTAAGGAAACGAGGGCCAGGTAAAGTATATTGTCCTACTCCCCGAACTCTATCTCCACTGCCTCCCCCCAAAAAAAACCAGAGAAAGACAGATGGCAGCCAGTGCATTAAAAGAACGAGAAAACCATAACAAACTCCAAAAGAAGCGCATGGAAACAAAGCAAAAACGCAGAGCAACTTCAAAATGCAGGTGGATACATGGGCAACGAAGACACAGGCAGGTCGAAGAGGCCAGCACTGGGCTATGGGCCACCCACCTGGAGCATAAGCGCGTGTGGGGAATGCACAAAGATAGATGCGTTTTCCTTTGGTGACGACTCAAGGCAGAGCTGCGCATCGGTTGCCTTCGCGTTGTAGGTGAAGGCAATGCTACTTGCAAGTTTTCCGTCATACAGGACCTGCTTATGGTGCTCCGCCAGGTGAATATCACTCTCAGACTTAAACTTGAAGGTGCTCTGAAAAAACACAACTAAAGTAAACACTCTTTTTATGAAGTGATGTAGGAAATCTCTCAAGTTTTAAACCAGATCAACATTCAATATAATAATCACTACGTTGGGTGCCTTCCTTGTGTTAGGCACTAGGTGGTAGTATTATTTAAATTTTGTTATCCTCACTGCAATTCTGTGAAAGTTAAACATCACCATACTAGCAAAGTCATGTAGGTGCCATTGTCTCATTTTTATTGCTTTTTATTATTCACAAAATAATTTTCTTAGAAAATAACATGAGGCCAAACCAAAAACAAACTCACTGTTATCAAGGCAAATGCAACACACAGTGACCCTGTTGTTAGGTTAGTTGTTATGTGCCGTCGAGTCACCCCTGACTCATAGCGACCCCTCCTTGGGTTTCCGAGGCAGTATCACTACGGAAGTAGGATTGCCCAACCTTCCTTCCGAGGAGTGGCTGGTGGGTTTG